GCGCTATTGCTATAATCGCAAAGTAGGGAATTCATTATATCTTTTACATTCTTAAGGATAAGCAAATATCCTTAGAAATTCCAATTAAGTATATATTAAATAAATACCTTTTCTTTTATTTTTATTAATTTCTTATTATTAAGGTAGGTATTACATTATATAGTTTAGCTAGCTATTTTATAGATAAGTATTAAATAAGGGATATAATATTTCTTAATTATGCATTAAATGCTTAATTTTAAGTTAAATTTAATAGCTTAAATAGCAAATTAAATATCGCTTTCTTTTATTTTATTTATTATAAGATATAATGCGAAAAAACGCGTTAAGAAGTTAAATTAAAGTGGTTTATAGAAAAGTATCCTGCTTAGTGGGGTATCCCGCTTATTAGTGCTTAATGTTATTATTTATTCTTAAATACTTATTAAAAGGTTTTTACCTTAAAGGCAATTAAATATACTTAATATATAAGATAATAATTCATTATATTAATGCACTTAACATTTAAACAATTAACTTTATACATTTATACCTTTATTAAAAAAAGTTATATATATAATATAATTTATATATTAAATAGCTTTATTTTTATGTTATTTAATAAGCAATATTTTATATATATATAATATTGAGAAGATAATTGCCTTAAGTAGTTAAAATAAGGGGTATATGCAAAAAGTGCATTAATTATAGGTTAGCTTAATGCTTAATTAACACACTTATAATTAAACTTACAATCTCTTTATTATATACTTAATTTAATTACAGCTATTTTAATTAATTAATAAGTTAAATTAATAATTAATGCATTTCATTAAAAAGTAATAGCCTTATAAGTAAAGAAAGATATAAGTTAATACCTATAATAAAGTAATTAAATAAAGGGCTAACGTTAATATAAAATAATTAAGTTAAATTAGCTTTAATTTAAATAAAAAGTATATTAGCTAATTATTAAATATTAAGGCTATTTATAAATTATAATTATATCTTATAAAATCACTTTATTAAATATTAATAATATAAAAAAGTAATAAGCAAATATTATTAAATAATAAAAAAAAGTTTAATAATAATAACCTTTTTAATAATTTAAAGTAATAAAATTAAACTTATAACCTTTTAATTATATAATATATTTAATTACCATTACTTTAAAACATTAAAGGCTTTTTATTATTAAATAAAAGGTAATAAAAAGAGTAGTTTATATAGCTAAAAAAGGTATAAGTTAAGGCAAATATAATACATATATACATTAACTTTAAACTGCTATAACACTACTAAAAAAAATCATAAATATAATATAATTTTTATATTAAATAATTTAACTTCTTATCTTTTTATTTATAATATTATTATTATAATTAATATAAGATTTATAAAAGAAATTAATATTTTATATTAAAGCATAATAAATATAAATAAGTTAAGCTAATTTATAAAACTTATTATATTATAAGCATTAACGTTAACTTTATTACTTTTTACTTACTATTATTATAATAATAAAAGTAATATTTAAAATACCCTTTTATATGTAATAAATAAGCCGTAATTAATTACTTTTAATAGCAGCATTATTTTTATAGCTCTTAATTACCCTTAAAGATGCTAATAAGCTTAATATACCCTTCTTTAATATATTATATTCCTATATAAAATCCTTTATATATTAATAAAAAAAGCTTTTTAAATCCTTTTTAAATTAATGATTAATAAATTACTTATTTAACTATATTAAAAAATCCTTAAGCATACTTAAGCCTATATTTTAAAGCTTTATAATTAAGTAACTTATTTCTTGCTTTTCTTAATAATATTATGCCCTTTAACGGCATATATATTAAAGAAAGTTATTTAATAACTTATTATTTTTAAGGCTATTAAATATTATTAAGGATAATAAAAATATTAATAAATAATATAATAAAGGTAATATAACCCTTATTATTAATATTTTAATAAAAGAAAGGGTTATAAGCAATATATATACATGCTTAGCTACTTATAATGCTAATAATAATAAAGCTAATTGCTAGAGTATTAAATAGCCATTAAGGGCATTTATAAATATTAATATAAGCTAATTGCTATTACTATTGCCTTTATTAATATTAATAATATTCCTGCTGCTTATATTACCCCTTCTTAACTTAAGCATATTAGCTTTACTTAAGCGCCTTAATATAGCTAAGAGAATATTATTATTTAGCTTAAGGATTAAAAGAATATTAAATACTTTAGCTTAACTACCTTACTTTTAATTAATTAAGCAAAATAATACTTAATTATATATACTTTTAGGAATATAATTTAAAAAAGCCCTTTTCTGCTTTTTCTTAATTAAATTAGCTTATTTAAGTAAGTCCTTATATATAAAGAATAAATATATCTTATCCCCCTTAATAAAGCATTATAATGCTAATTTTAACTCCCTTTTATAATTAAAATAATATTCTTTATTATAATACTTTAGCTATTAACTTAATTAAGTAAATAGCTTAGTTTTAACATTTCTTTAAGCAATAATAGCTTCTTGCATAATATTAATTTTTATAAACCTTGCTAAGAAACTTAATTAATTGCTTAGCTAAGAAATATTGCTAATCTTAGCATTAAATTGCTTAGTTTAAAATAAATTATTTTTTTTACTTTTATAATAATAACATTTTTAATTTTGCAAAATTAAATATTAATAAAGCCCTTAAAGGTTAATAATAATATAATTAAACTTTGCTAACGCCTTAAAATAATATAAAGAATAAGAAATACTTAAAAGAAATATATAATAATTAAAGTATATATTGCCTTGCTTTTAATTTACTTTAAAGATTATATATTAATTTTTAAATAATCTTAATATTTATATTTACTGCCTATTAATTAAAATATAAAAGTTTTAATATATTACTTTTCTTTAATTATATTATTATAACAAGGAATTTATACTTTACTTAATAACTCTTAAGGTTATTAAAGATTTACTTTTTAAACTTTTTAAGCTATTTATTAAGTTAATTAATAAAAAGATTGCTAAATTTATTGCATTGCCTTTTTAAATATTTTATTAAAGGGATAAGTAAAATAATACTTTTAAATTAATTAGCTAAGTTAATTAAAAAAAAGAAAAATATAATTTTAATATTTATTTATAACTTAATCTTAATATCTTTATTAAGAAAGCTATTAATAATAATCTCTTTAATAATTTTCTAAATATTATTATTCTTAATAATAAAAAGGTTAATAAAAAGGTTAATAAAAAGGTTAATAAAAAGGTCTTTATTATTATAAGGCAGGGGATTTAGCTCCTTTTTATTATTTTTAATAGGGCTACTTTTCAATAGCAATAATAATAATAATAGCTTTAAGAGTATTTTCTTTAGCAGTAATGGCTTCCTCTTTATTAATAGCTTTTAGGTAAGCTTTGTTAATAATAATGAAAAAGGCTTTGCTTTTAGCTTAATAATAATTTAAGTCTTTTTTATAAGAAAACCGCTAAATGCCATAAATATAATATTCTTTTTTTTATAAATATTATATTTACTAACTTTAAGGGATTATTATTAAAGATAATATAACGTTTAAATTAAGATTATAATTAATAATAAGGGCTATGGTTTAAGGGCTTGTAATTATTATATAAAATTAACTTTAAGGCATTAATAATAATAGCCTTACTTAAGGGCCTTATAATATGCAAATACTTTCATTAATTATGATTATATATAAATAAATAACGCTTAGCATTAACTATATTTCCTTAAAGCTTTAATAAGGCATTAATAGCTTTTATAAACCTTAATAATAAGTTAAAGGGCGAGAAATTATATTTAAGGGTAATTATTATATATAGCAATTTATATATAGGCTTTTAGCAGTAATAATAACCTTAATTAATATATAAATTAATAATATTAAAGGTATTAACTAATGGTATAATAAGTGCATACGATTTTTAATGTAAGGTGTTATATGCAGGTTACTAGCGCCAAAATGGAACGTTTGATTGCATATGAGAGTACCACCGCAGGTGGGGCTTGGAGAGCAGCTGCAGCAGGGGTAGGAGCTGGGGAGCCTGTGAAGCAGACAGGCCCGGGCAGTCATTAAGGTTGCGGGCTGGCCCATCCCCGCAGCCGTTGACAGCCCAGTGGTCTGGGGACGCTGTGGATGTGGTGCTCTCAAGCTTACTGATCGACTTGTAGTCAAGCCCTACTGAAGACATGTATTAGAAATACTGCAGTCAGGATGCGGATGCACTAAAACCCCTCCCGGACTTGCCGACCACGTCGCCGGGCTGACTGATTGAAGCCATCGCCAGAAGAACGGTGAGCGAAATGGGACACAGGCGATAACCAGCACTTTCACGACAGATACAGGGCCAACATTTGAATCAGCGAGATCTGTCGCCAAGGCGTCGCTTCATCTCACTGCCGTCCTGGGCGGCCAACAAAGCAGGCGTGGCGATCTTGCCATGCATGCGACACACGGCAGCTGCAGTATAGGTATCATTTGCTGGTACTCAATACTGGACTGTGTAACCCACCACATGCAAGGGCCTTCCACGTCGAATCTGAATGATCGACTGTGGGTATGTACTAGTGTCCCGGCAAACCTTCTATCAGCCTTACACCATAGACTCGTCTGCCACATGTCCAGAAGCTACTCTCAAGCGACCGCAAGCATCTTGTCCACGGTTCCCTGGGCGAGTGGGTCGTGAGGGAGTCGGCGTGGGGGGCTCAAGTTCTCTCTTGATCGGCGTCCAAGAAGCCAAGCAGCCAAGTCTTGCACTCCGCGCCACCTGACTTCCTTCTCGCATCCTTCTGAATCTTATCAGATCGATTGATAAACCAGGCAAGCCCTGGCCCGTTCCAAACACTTTATATATTCTCTGCGCCCAGCCGGTCCGAGTCTCATGTCTTCTTCCAAATATCTCCTCTTCCCTGCCTTCCGAAATCTTGTTAACCGTGGCTCTCCACCTCCGTCACCTGCCAAAGATGGGCGATCGCGTCGGCGATCCCGAAGCCCAAGAGCCATTGCTTTCCAGCATACACGACGATGGCTTCCAGAACAGCCCTGACGTTGACGAAGATGGAGCGTTCCTCGCTGAAACGAGCCCGCCCAAGGCCTCTCCGGACACCGAGGCACAAGAAGGCGTCCAGCAGGCTAACGCTGTCACCCTCGTCTGGACGAGATCAGCCCTGGTCCTTGCCTACGCCTTCATCTTCCTCAACTTCTGCCTCACCTCCATGGAGCAGCAGACCACGGCCAACCTCCTCCCCTTCGTCGTGAGCGACTTCTCGGCCCACTCGCTCATCCCAGCCATCGGAATCGCCTCCTTCATCCTGAGCGGCGTCCTCCGGCTGCCCGTCGCCAAGATCATCGACACCTGGGGCCGCCCGCAGGGCCTCGCCGCCATGGCTGCCATCGCCACCATCGGGCTTGCCATGATGGCCGCCTGCAGCAGCGCCGCCACCTACGCGGCGGCCCAGATCCTGCACGCCGTTGGGTTCAGTGGCTTCACGTACATCATCGACATCATCGTCGCCGACACGTCCTCGCTCCAGGACCGCACCCTGGCCTTTGCTTTTGCAGGGTCTCCAGCCATCGTCACCAATTTCCTGGGGCCGCCTGCTGCGCAGTGGTTCCTCCATTACAGCTCATGGCGGACGGCTTTCGCGCTATTCACCGTTCTCATACCGCTGGTTGCACTCCCTGTCTTTGCTATTCTCCAGGTCAATGCAAATCGGGCGAAGAAGCTCGGGATTCTCAAGCCATCCAAGAGCGAACGGACTTGGTCGGAGGCTATCTGGCACTATTCTGTTGAATTTGACGGTAGTGCTTAAATCTTGCGCATCTCAAGTACCTCGCTGACAACGTCCAGCCGTTGGCGTCTTGCTACTGGGTGTTGGCTTGACCCTGTTCCTCCTACCTTTCTCAATTGCTGGTTCAGCAGGGAGCAAGTGGTCAGCATCAGTAGTTTCCATGCTGATGCTGGGAATCATCTTGACCGCTGCTTTTGTCTTCTTTGAACGCTACTGGGCCCCCAAGCCCTTCGTGCCGTTTAATCTTCTGTGCTCCCGTAATGTCATCGGCTCCTTCGTCCTGTCAGCCAGCTTATTCATCGCCTACTATTGCTGGGACGGCTATTACACGTCCTACCTGCAGGTAGTCCACCAGCTCTCTGTCTACCAAGCGGGATATGTCAACAACACATACACCATCGTGAGCGGCCTGTGGGCCTTCGGGGCTGGGTGGCTGATCAAATCCTCAGACCGCTTCAAGTGGCTTGCACTACTTGCTGTGCCGGTGCAGATAATGAGCGGCGTCCTGATGGTTTTCTTCAGGCAGCCGCCTACGCCATTGTTCTGGGTCGTCCTGCCACAGATACTCCAGGCTCTTGGTGGTGGCACCCTCGTGATGACGATGTAGATGGCCGTCATGGCTGTTGCAAAACACGGAGAGGTGGCCTCACTCATCGCACTACTCGGCCTCTCCAGCGCCGTGGGCTCTGGCATCGGAAGTTCTGTGCCCGGGGCCATATGGACAAACACTGTGTACGCCGAGTTGCTGAGGCTCCTGCCGGATGACTCGAAGGACCAGGTCACGGTGATCTACGAGGATTTGCAGCGGCAGCTGAGTTATCCGGTGGGCAGCCCAGTGCGAGACGCAATTATCTATGCGTACACTACTGCTCAGCGGCGCATGGTTCTTGCCGGATTGGGCGTGTTGCTGATTGCAATACCCGCTGTTGTGGTCTGGAAGGATGTGAAGGTATCCCAATTCAGGCAAGTCAAGGGCCGCGTGGTGTGAGAGGGCACACCTATGGCGTTGATCCGCGGCGTGCTGCAAGAACTGGGCTCTAAAGCAGCCATAAGCATGGCATTCTGATTGTCCCCACGTCTATGTAATCATCTTGTCAGCACCTCGCTCACCTCATGGTCTTCCAGAAAGACCGCCACCTCCCACCTTCTACTTGGTAATGACTCAATTGGGCTGTTCCTACCCAATGTGCGCTCGGCGATACGAGAGAGTCCGGCCACCCGCACACAATTGTATACGCGGAAGCCTACGTAATGGCCGAGTGGCTGCAGAGCTTTTTGAGATTGGACCCAGCTCCTCGGTCCCATTACGTCCCATCAAGTGTGGGTCGTGCCGACACGATCACCATCCACGCCGAGACCGGGCCTCGAGATGATCCCACATCAGACTGGGTACAAGGGTATTTATGGAGGTGTGGGAATCTTATCAGATCATCTGATGAAGTGCTGTCTCAGGCACACTATCTCTTGGCGTGGGCCAGGATCTGAACTGCATGGCCACCCTTGTCCTTGCGTCTCCTCGCTAACTGCATGTGGCAGCCTAGACGGCCTGGCTGCCGACTGGCCTCGGCCTCGGGCTCGGAGCATGGCGATGATCCCGTCCTGGGTCGCGTGTGGGATGCAGCTCGAACGGGTAAAGAAGGAGAGAAGATGTGTCAGGCCCACGGCGTCTGCAGTCTCGAAGGGGAGCTGAGGCTTGCGACTGGCGCGATTGGGACGCTTGCGCCCACTTCGGTCCATGAAATTGGAAGAAGTGTGGGATATTGCCCGAGGGGGCCCATTTCCCTTGCCTTCACGGCAGCCACGGCCGGGCCCATATTTCCTCGATGCCGTGGTCCGAGTATCCAAGCAGCCCCCGGCGTGATGGAGAGGAGCAAGGCACTCAATACGTGGGTGGCCAAATTGCTGAAAATGTACTATTGAAGACATTCTCGCAGAGCCCGGCTAAGGTACAGAACTGCTCAAGAAATTGGCGGCAGTATCAGTGAAAACGGATCGAAATCATCGAGACCTCGCTGAAATACTTCGAAAGCTCGAGGAAGCTTTCACGTCAAGACCCGCCATGGCAACACAAAATTTGCCCTCGGCTATCGAACAGCCCATAATCAAGCGCGAGACCCCATCGATTCTACATGGCCCCGTCGACCCTCCTTTGAGCGACTTCACCCTCGGTGAGCTTCTCGAACTACAGTGCCAGCACAATGGCGAGGCAGATTGCATCAGCATCCCGTGGACAGGCGCCCGCTGGTCATACGACGACCTCCGCCGGCAGTCCAGCCTTATCGCGCGGGCCCTACTCGCCGAAGGGATCCGACATGGCGACCGGGTGGCCATTATGGCTGGCAATTGCGAGCAGTATGCGGCCATCTTCTTCGCAGTGGTGAGGATCGGCGGCATCCTCGTTATTCTCAATAACACATACACACCCTCCGAGGCCATATACGGGCTTGAGTTCACCGCGTGCAAGGTCTTCTTCACGACCAAGAAGATCGGAAGGACAAACAACGAGCCGCTGCTCGCACAGGTAGCGGCCAAGGACAACGCGCCCAAGGTGGTCATCCTCAGGGGGGAGAGTGAGGGCTACAGGACATATGAGGATATGATCCTGCAAGGGAGCAAGCAAGACCCAGCAGAGCTGTACAGTCAGGAGACTAAGGTGTCGACGTACGATGTGTGTAACCTCCAGTTCACGAGCGGCACGACGGGCAACCCAAAGGCAGCAATGCTCACCCACCACAATATCGTCAACAACTCCCGCTTCATTGGCGACCGCATGCGCCTCACCAACTACGATGTCCTCTGCTGCCCACCGCCGCTGTTCCACTGCTTCGGCCTCGTGCTCGGGCTACTGGCCGTGATAACCCACGGCGCCAAGATCGTCTACCCGGCCGAGGTGTTTGACGGCCCAGCAACGATCCGCGCGATCCAGGAGGAGCAGTGCACAGCACTACACGGCGTGCCGGCCATGTTCGACACGCTGCTCGCGCTGCCGGAGGCGGCCTCCCTGGACGCGTCAAAACTAAAACTGCGCACGGGGATCATCGCGGGGGCCCCCGTGCCGCGGTACCTGATGGAGCAGCTGGTGTCGAAGCTGGGCATGAGCGAGTTCACGTCGTCGTACGGGCTCACCGAGGCCAGCCCGACGTGCTTCAACGCCTTCACCGACGACCCGATCGGCACGCGCCTCAGCACGGTGGGCACGCTGATGCCGCACGCGTACGCCAAGATCGTCGACCGCGACGGGAACACCCTTCCTGTCGGCCAGAGGGGCGAGCTGCTCATGGGCGGGTACCAGCTGTGCGCGGGCTACTGGAACAACAGCGAGAAGACGGCCGAGGTCATGACGCGCGACGAGAACGGCATGCTCTGGCTTCACACGGGCGACGAGGCCGTGTTTGATGAGCATGGGTACTGTAGTATCACTGGGCGGTTCAAGGACATTATTATTCGAGGCAAGTTCCCGGGATTGACACCCACTGATACCATCCGCGTACCTGAGATGGTCGTTGCATAAACACACAGTGCTAACACTACCGTCTAGGCGGCGAGAACATCTACCCCCTCGAGATCGAGGAGCGCCTCATGGCGCACCCGTCCGTGTCGCTGGCGGTGGTCGTGGGCCTCAAGGACGAGCACTACGGCGAGGTGGTCGGCGCGTTCCTGGACAGCAAGCCCACGGCCAAGGGGGCCGAGTCGCGCCTCACCAAGGCCGAGGTGCGCGACTGGGTCACCAAGCGGCTGGGCAAGCACAAGGCGCCCGCCCACGTCTTCTGGATGGGCGAGGGCGGCGTGCCGGCCACGGTGCCGCTGACGGGCAGCGGCAAGGTGCGCAAGTTTGAGCTGGCCAAGCTCGGCGAGGAGATCCTGTCCAAGGGGGTGGGCAAGGAGGCCAAGCTTTGAATTTTTTGTTCACTTCTTTTTCTTTATCGTTCATGTTCATATTTATTTTGGCGCTATCTGTGTCTTCTCTCCTTGGATTTAGACATGACTTTACATTTGGCGTTGGGGGAGAAGGAGATATCGCTAGAGATAGACAACACACGCAGAGCCTTGTGAACCGTGATCTTCTCTCGGTACGTTCCCGCGGGGTAAGCGACACCTTTCCATTCGAATTGGAAGCTTCCACCGTGACCCACGATCCACGAAGCACAGCAACAGCCAAGACGATCCTCACGGGGGGTCTCGAGCGATCAACAGGTCTCCAGCCAATCCGAACGGACGGGGGGGTCCCAGTCAGAAATGCTTAGCCTCGGGCGTCGCATTGGGAAAGGCTTAGCCCTCGGTGCGACCCACGCCGGAATTTTTATCTGATCAGTCCAACCCCCAAAAGTCCGCGTACTCAGGCGCGCAGGCCAGCGAGATCGGCGCCCCCAGGCAGCGCTAGCTTGATGAAATTTTTATCAGATCCGCAGTAGGATGGGGCCGGTTGTCCCGCTAAAGTTATCAGATCCGTGCTAATGCAAGCCTCCCCTTGGTAAGTACACGCGCATAGGGACCCCGTTGGGGTTGTCGCAACTGTCGCACTCGCCTGCGCCGCCCTTCCGGTGACAGGTTTTTGAAGTGTTTGCAGCATTTGAAGATCCCAGATACCCACCCAATCACGCCCCGTCCGGGGGCACATGTGGCATTGGAGCCCGGCATGATGGGGAACACGTCGTGTTTGCCCCTAGACAAAAAGGAGCAGGTCGGCCTCGGGCGCAACGTCATTTGAGGGAGACGACCCTCCATCCTTGACCGTGGCCTGCGAGGGTGAGCAAGTTATGGAAGACCCAGCCCTGCTCGGCTGCTCGGCTCATCGGCTGTACCTGATCCAGGCTCCAAGAGTCGATCCTGGAACTCTGTGCGAGCCTGGTGGGTGTCGCTTCGATACGAGATGTATTCATCAAACGGGGCCTCCTTGGTGGGCGGCCCGATGTGTGGGATCTCTGGTGAGAGGACATTTTCTCTGCGGTGATAACCTCCTGGCAGCTCTCTTTTGCGCCATCAGGGTGTTCATCAAATCCTAACTCACCAGCCCTCGGTTGTGTTGTTTTAGACAACATCTTGACCCCCGGACTGGCGTCATCTACGATTCCAGCATGGCACGCCTCTCGCTGGCAACCTGGGCCTCGGCTGACCCGGTGATCAAACTTCCACACCCATGCCTGACCCCATACTTCATCACATCCTCCAGCAGGGCGGCATCATCCTCCTCGACCAAGCTGCACCAGCTGAGCACACCTGAACAACCCGACTCCCAGACACAGACTCCCCCAGAGCCCCTTCACAGCGAGAGTCTCCACTTCAGCGAGCCCGAGGACCTCAAGTCCAGCGAGCTCCCGCCCCAGTCCAACAACACAGCATGGGCGCGCGCCCGGCGCTCACCCTCGTCCAGCCTCGTCTGGGACGGTGACGCCGCCCCGACGCTGGCCCAGACGTGGCTGTTCATCTACGTGCTGTTCACCGTCCGGCCGGACGAGGAGTTCATCCGCATCAGCCTCAGCGGCGCCGGCAGCGACACCCTCGCAAACCAGCTGCGCGCCACCATGCTGGCGGTCGACCACCCGCAGGGCGTCAGCCCCAGCGCCAGTGCCCCCGAGGAGCTGGTCCTGCTGCGCGCGTCCTTCTGGCAGGGCGCGGGGTCCCCCTTCGGCGCGCGCGGCGCCTGGGTCCCGACGGACATCCCCGGGACGGTGTACGCCTCTGCAGCCGCCCCGGCCCTCACATACACGATGACCTCAGACGCGGGCGCGGCGCAGGCGTGGCACCCGCGGCGGGCGCCCAAGCCGCGGCCGGGCAGCACGGTGTACTCGCGGTGGGTGCCGCACCTGCGCGAGACCTTCAGCATGGTGGCGCTGGACCACGGCGACCCGTCGCACGTGGCGCTGTTCCACGCGTGGCAGAACGACCCGCGCGTCAGCGCCGGGTGGGACGAGGCGGGAACGCTGGACCAGCACAAGGGCTACCTGGCGCGGGCGCACGCGGACCCGCACCGGCTCGCGGTGCTGGCGGCGTTCGACGGGGTCTTCTTCGCGTACTTTGAGACGTACTGGGCCCGCGAGGACCCCCTGGGCGCGTACTACCCGAGCACCAGCGACTTTGACCGCGGTCGCCACAGTCTCGTCGGCGATGTGCGGTACCGTGGCGCCCATCGCGTTGGGGCGTGGTGGAGCAGTCTTATGCACTACCTGTTCCTCGACGACCCGCGCACAATGCAGGTCGTCGGTGACCCCAAGTTCACAAATTCCACTGTGCTGGCGTACGACCTCGTCCACGGTTTTGGCCTCGACAAGTTCGTCGATCTGCCGCACAAGAGGGGCGCCCTCATGAGGTGTTCCCGCGAGCGCTTCTTCCAGATCTGCCCGCTTGCCGAGGACGAGCGCGAGAGGAAGCAGAAGGTCGTCGGCGGGACGCTGGTTGGCTTGGTGCCAAAGCTGTGATGCGCGGCAGATTGTGGGAAGATCTATTGTATATACCGTCGGCTGACTTTATAACAAATTCATAATGAAGAACATAGAACGTTTCGTATTGGTTTCGGAGTAATGATCAAATCCATTATATTGTCCAAGAAGGTATAAGCAAATAAGTTTTGCCTATGAACTCCAATATAAACGCCATCATATTGTGCAGATAATCCCCTTTGGTCCTCATTTTCTTCAAACCCATCAGCCCTCAACGGGGCTGCCCTTGGGCGGACCAAGTTCCTGACCGAGGCGCATATGCCTCCAGCAGATATCAAAACCCAGGTCGTCGCCAAAGAACACCCTCATCACCTCCTCTCCAGAATCCACGCCCTGGCCCGGGCTATAGGACATAGCCTTCTTGCCAACAGCCAGCCCGATCATGGGCGGTATCTCACCCAGCTCCAGGAACTTGGGCGCGGTGCCCTTGAGCTTCTCCAGCACGAGCTCGTGGATGTTGTGCGCGGCGTAGTAGCCCATATGCATGGCGCCGCCGCACCGCTTGATGCCAGACCACTTGATGGCATCGCCGATACCAAAGTGCACGTCGGCGTTGGGCACCTCGCCCGCGAACCTGAGGTCCGGCCTGGCCCTGATGAGCCCTTCCTCCTCCAGCGCCGCCGCGGGCAGGAACTCGGTCGACGGCACGGACCTGCTGACGGCCATGATGACGACGCTGGCGTCCATCTTGTGGCCGTCGGTGAAGGTCACCTCGGTGACGGTCTTGCCGCCCTCGCGGGTCACCTCCTCGGTCCCCGCAAGCCGCCTGCCCAGGACCGTCTCGACGCCCGCGTCCCGCACCAGCTCGAGCGCCCTGTCCTTGCACTCGTCCGGCAGCGGCTCGGAGCTGAGCAGCTTGTCGCGCGAGTGCACGAGCGTGACGCGGGTCTGCGGGCGTACGGCCTTGAGCTCGGCCGCCATCTCGATGCCCACCGCGCCGCCGCCCACCACCACGACTCCGGCGGGGGCGTCGGTCACGGCGCTGATGTGGGAGCCGGCCTCGGTCAGGTACTGCTTGCGGTACAGGGACTGCGGGACGACGGGCCACGCGCGGCGCAGGCCCGTGGCCACGACGAGGTAGTCGTACGCCAGGTCCCTCTGGGCTTGTGTGGCCGTCTCGAGGACGGTGGCGCGCTTGCTGGCCGGGTCGACGCCCGTCGCTTTGCCTTGGATCATGGTGATCTTAGGCGTTTTGAGCGCGGGGATGTCGTCAAACCTGACCCAGGCCTTGGCTGCGTAGGCGTCGTCTGCGAGGGCTAGGGGGGAGCCGATCAGGTGGTCTTTGGAATATTATTAGTACATACTTCTGGCTGAGTGACAGGCGATCTCAAGGCTTTCTGCCCTGGAGTTTACGAAATTGTGTAAAACTTTGCACATGGTTGAGACAGTGAAGCCTTGGGAGTGCCCGGCCTCAGTGTAGTGGAATAGATGTGGTGGTGGGGTCCTTCGAACATACAGTAACCATCTCGCTCATCGACAATTGTGATATCGATTGGGATCTTGCCATCATGGCCTGGCACGGCTCCGTTGCCTTGTCGCGCGGCGCGTCCCTCCGAAAGGTCTATTAAATTGAGCGCAGCGGACAGTCCCCCGTAGCAGCCGCCGAGGACGAGCACCTTGAAGGGCGTCAACTCCGAAGCATCAAACTGAGAACCCATGGTGGTGAAACTCGAGGTATGCCTTGGCGAAAGGCAGGTAGATGGCCACCTATTATTCAAGAGGGCGAGTTGTGACTTGTGCACAAGGGAGCGACTGGGAAGAAAAAGAAGGCCGCGAACAAGAGAAACTGCTAGGGACCGCATTGTGGAGGCCAGACGGAACACCAGCCAGGCCGGAAGGACACACCGTTTTAAGCATATTTGAACATGCAAGTCTGGCCTGGGCAAGCAGGTTCCGGTGGGGGGAGGATGGACAGTACTGGGCCACCAAGACAGAGTATTCCCCACCGCGATCCTATTAGACGAGGGGACTACCCTGCAACATTCCGTCGCTCGTGTCTTGGCTCCCCTTTTCGGCTGCGAAGGATCTTATCAGATTGATCAGATAACAGCCACCGCCGCGCCATCAGCTCGCTCTCGCTTCCCCGGTCGGCCCGGAGCTTGGATCGGCGAGCTCTCTGCTTCTTCTTCCAGTGGCGCCATTTTTTTTTTGCGACCGTCACCGAGCTCCGGTTCGGGTAGCTCCTCAAATCCCATTCGACATCGGCGCTCTTCCAAGAGTCCTTGGGCCGCAATTCTAGGCAGCAGTCATATGCTGGCATGTGTAAGTGATATGTAAGTGAAAATGCCCAGACTCGGTTGACATCATCCACAAATATCTTGAGCATCTAATTCAACTTCTCAGACGCAAAATATCGATCACACTCACGTGACAGCAAATTCGATCGTGCAGCTTGAAATCAGCATCTAATCACATTCAATTGTACGTTCTATTGTTTGACAATGTGTACAAGTAAATCACGAGTGTGGGAAAGTGCCTGTTCTGCCTCGGCACTGTTTTTCTCTGATCCACCCTCTCGGCTTGGAGTGGCGATTTAATCCGCAAGCTTCACGAGCAACGGTTGTTTATGTTGTTTGTTTATCATGAGGAATACTATGGTGAGGGACAACTGTGCTACTGACCCATGAGTTACCTCCTGGCAAAGAGTGACAGCGGTTTATAGGCGAAGATGCGAGTACCGCACATGCGCATGCAGCTAGGATACCCCAAGTCTTCGCAATTCTTAACACAGGAATGCGACCACCGAATTCTTATGCGAAGCTGAGGCCAGTATACACTTCTAGAGAGCCAACTTTTTTATGCCATTGGCCCATCTGCTTCTACCGCGCATTGTCTTAGGAGAAATTCCGAAAGGTGAGTAGCGCACTAAAAGCTTACCGACATACATTATGTTGTGGGGAAGCGGAATACCATTGGATGAGAGACCGCGGTTGTGTGAGATATCACAGACTCCGGACCCGGACGGAGTGGCGGATCCTGGTCAAGGTGGCGAATGGGACATGCTGGCTGAAGGGTTTCAAGGGACTTGCCTGAGAGTGTTCATTGAAGCCGCACATTGGGTTCGTTTGGTCTATTTGTGTCGCCCAACCGGATATAAATAAGTACACAATTTGCAATGCGGTAAGCTGACATGCATAGTCGCGGCCACTATACATTACCGTGAAGCGACTAACGCAGGAGCTCGGCCTCTCGTTGGTCGTAGAACACTGGCGCCAAGCCATTTTGTTGTCAATCTTCGGCGTTGCGTCACCAGAAGGTCAGCTTTTGGAAACAAATTCACGTGTCTACGGAGGTCAATCTTGGGTAGGGGGCACGTATGAGCGATGCCATTCGAGGGAGACATGTACGGATCAAACAGACTGGCTTTTACGCCCATCTGTATTTATGGACTACATCCATGGGCACGTCGTAAGCTGTGCCGTAATCGCATCGAGCAATGATTTAAGTCTTCCGCTTCCTACAACACGCATCTCGCTCTACTCGTCTCCGGAGTTCTCTTCTTCAGACTTACGACACAGTCGAACTGCATCATCATTATAACACCCATCATGCATCTGTTCACTCCTTTATTTGTCATCATGGCTCTGGCAAGTCCATACCTGACCACCGCAAAAATAGTAGTCATCAAATCCACAGGCGACGCACCATTCTTTGACCCAACAAACACCACCGCCGACGTTGGAGATATTCTGGAGTTCCACTTCAGCGCCCACAACCGAAGCGTAGTCAGGGGTGACTATGAAAGACCCTGTGAGCCGGCTGCAACCGGAGGCTTCTACTCGGGCTTCTTCGTACAGGAAGACGCCACCGCAGAAAATGTAAGCCCGGATGACCCACCCATTGCCGCGAAGATCATGATGGAGACCAATGACTAACATTCACCCCCCCTTTTCACCCGACTGCAGTCAACGGTCTTCCGCGTCACCGTGAACGACACGGACCCGATCATCTACTACTGCTCGCAGAACGGCCCCGAGTTCGGGAACCACTGCAAGGACCACGGCATGGCGGGGGTGGTCAACGAGCCCGATGTGTCCAGGCTCCAGGAGTACAGGGACGCGGCTGCCTCGGTGGACACCAGCGTCACGCCCGATTCTGAGCCCTTCGGGGGCGTCTTTGCCGTGAACCCAGACACCGACGCTGTGAGCGGGACCGCTTCGGGGAGCTTGCCGGCCTCGACGTCGACAACAAGTGCGCCGGGTGAGGGGTGGAAACACATGAACAGCCAGTCTTGTTGGCTATTACTTGCGGCGATGGCTATGTTACTTGTTATGTAAGAGGATTTGGGTTATCTGTATCGCATGCAAGTTCTTCTTGGGTAGGGGCATTCAAAGCATCCGTTCGCTCAGCATCGGGGAAGTGCGCTTCAGGAGGACAGGGCTGTATGAGTTTAGAGACTGTATTGTAGCTATATAAATAACAAATGCAGAGGTCTCGTGATAGACCAACAGAAGACTATGTCGTCTCAGCGTCCTGCCTCGTGTGGAGCTCGGAGGACGGCATCGAGCCTGCACTTCCCCGGCCGGAACTTTCGATTATTACTGACTCCAAAATTGATTCTCAGCTTATTTTTCTCGTTTCTCCGTGTCTTGTGACGACCAAGGCTGCCCTTGGTCCACCTTACACGCTACCGGAACATTTTTGGGGGTTCGTAGCCTTTCAGACGGCTCACTTTGGGCACAAAAAGGCGAAGACCAAGGATTCTTTTTTCTCACTTCGGAAAACCTCAATGTTCTGTGAGATTATTCTGAGGAAACCAGCCATAAACTAGCAGGATGTCCTGTAAGACATCACTCGCGTCTCCAATCTGGTTTTCTCCGTAATCTTACTCGAGATACCACAGCGTACCACTGGGCTGGAAATAAAAGAGCCATCAAGAGTAAATATATCATGATATTACATAATCAAGCTTGACTTGGAGTATCTCAAAGCAATTAAGAATCGGGCGGTTGCGACAACTCCAACATACAATTGCCAAAGGTGAGAATGGCATCTCAGTCACAGAATACTTGCACCAATTGAAACGGAACATAAGAAATTCTGATTGCTTCCTGACAAGGATCTGTGATATGGCCATTAGAGTAACTGAGCCATTTGAACCCCGAGTCCTGACACGAGATACCGGTCCTCCCCATCCTAGCCTTTCCGCACGCAAACACAGTTGCCGAAACTGTAAAGGCAGGCGGATGTGACAGGTTACAAACAACATGCCAGTGACCCCGAGCACAGCGGACAAGAGCAAACGATAGCTTGCGACTTCTCCGAACGAGCCTAACTGAGCTTTCCATGTCTTAGGCTTGGGATAGAATACGGCCAACTCCTTCGTGGTAGAAACCAAGAGGCACGAACTCTGAATAGATAAACTTAAAAAGTTGTATTATACTGATGTAACCATCAAGCCCTTGACGCCCTTTCCCGGTGCCATTTTCTTAGAATCCTCTGGGGTGTTTCCTGCGTTCCGGAACCTGCCTTTGTGATCCCTCCAGAACTGACGGTACTCCCTTGCTTAATCGGTGGATAGTGAGCCTCTGTGGATGGTGGCGTTGGCTGCGGTGGTTGAGTTGGCGGTGTGTCATTCGCACCTGTTTCTCGTTCGGTTCAGGGGTTGGCCGGCCCGGTTGGAACAGGAAAACTAACCGCATTGCTTAGCACCACCCGCACAGCTTCCGCCGCCGCCGCCCCCGCCGCCGCCGCTGCCCCCGCCGCCCCCGCCGCCGCACCCGGCCGGGTCAGGGCCGTTCGGCTGGGACCCCGGGATCGGGTTCTCTGATGGAGGGACACGAGGCGGCACGTCCTCGATCTTTCCAGTTGCCGGGTCGTAGACGAAGCCGTGGATGATGATCTTCCTGTCTGGGTTGGTCGGGTCGTTGGCCCGGATGGCCGGATGGTTCTGGACAAAGAACCAGTCTTGGCGGACGGCGGCGTAGGGGCACTTGAAGTCATACCAGGGCATGTCGGTGATCGAAGCCGCACCAGGGCATACGATCTTGCCCGGGTACAGAAGTTGGGAGATGGGCGTCTTATACGAGTTGAGGAGTTTCATGCCGCAGTCCTTGTGCTTGATGATGAACACCTCTTTCACACCCAAGAAGTGCGTGGAAATGATGATGTCCCGGAGGGCAGCTACGGCGCTGCCTCCGGCATTGCGGATCACATGGGCTTCGCCTGGATTGATTCCAAAAGCCGCCGCAGGGTCAATACGGGCATCGATGCACGTAACTGGACAGAGCAAGATTCAAAGTCAGTTTATACAATATAGTACTGGGGTCGGTTAGACAAAGAGGTAGGACATACCAATGAGATATTGTTTCGTGGGAGGAAGCTCAAGTTGCCCTACATTCGCCGGACGCGAGGCAACATATTGGCCATTGGCTGCCAGCATGGCTTGGCGGTTAGCGGTGTTGACCGTCAACGAAGAGGTAGCCATTGTGACTGTTGTGAGGGGGAGGGGGCGTCAATCTCTGAGCTTTTTGCGGGGTAGTAATTTATATTTTGAGCGATCACGAATGCGCTACCAGGCTGGAAACGACATCTCACAGACAGGAATTCGCTCAGTGTAAATAGATGGAACAAGTAGCAGATGTCAAGCCACTCATGTGGACCTTTGTTTAATTAGGACACGGCTCGCCTTAGGAATGTACGCAAACGGTCAGCGGCCAACAAAGTGATCACGGTATGAGTCTTGTTCCGACACCAAAGTCGACCAAGAACTCTCGGGTCCCAAATGTACGAAAGGTTACATGTTAGACATCCGATATTTTACTTCACGTTTCCATCCAGCACTCGTGTGCACTGGCCCGAGCTAGTCGTTCAAAACACGCACTAGGAACTCTTCTCAACTCTATGATTCTTCCATGTACGCCCTGTATAAGAAGAATAAACGATATAAAAACAATAGTATTACTTTTTCCTAGAATACAGAAAGAAGTCGTGGCAATTTCTCATGTCCAGGCGACGGCGTTGTACAGGCTGCTCTGCAGCCAGGCCGCTCCCGACCTCCCTTCTAACAGAGTGGCGCAATTCCACAAGCCACTGCTGAAATCAGCCCGGAGACCATATCAAAAGAGACTAAAGGATAGTCCTTTCAGACACATAGTCGAGAGCTCGAGACTTACTAACCATCCAAGGACTTTCATAAACGACGCCAACTTTGATGGACCGCAGGCTCAGGGGTCGACTTTCTTACACTGCCACTCACCGAACAACCAGGAAGGAATCCTTGTCGGCTGGATTTTCTACACTGAACACGCCGTCCCCTTCGTAAATTGGAAATGAGTGTCAGTGATGCAGTGCACTTTTCACTGGATGATTGATTGGATCGCCATCTAGAAAGTAGGCACCTGGGTTGAGTCCTTCTTGTCATATACAAACGACTTAGATCAAATGGCATTTGCAGAAGGTGCGATTGCGCATATATTCTGACGGGACACTGCCAGCACCGACCACACTCAGGGGGGTCGGTTTCGCCGTTGCTTTGGGCAGCTAGCTTGAGTGGCGTCACCACCCCTTGAGCTCCGGGGCTGATGTCGAGTCAATATTCGACTTTCCAAGTACACTTCACAAGGGTTATATTGGTAATGGTTCACATGGTCGGGGTGTTCGGTATTGTCCGTCAGTTTGCTAAACTTTGTACTATTGCATATGTACCTCGCTAGAAGGTGTATTTACAGGATTCATGCTTACTACATAAATAGGCAAGACACCGAAGCTAGGGTAGCCCTTCGAAGCCGAGATTTATTAATAGCGGATTAAAGTTTTCGAAAATGTTAGCCAGTCAGAAAGGGGCAATTCATAATACGAATCAACTCTTGTGCATGTGCTTCTTGTTTATTTTAACCTTTTTGAGCTCCAGAGCCGGGGCACTCTCCATGCCTCAGGGGTAAAGACCGGCCGGGACCTGCTGCTCTTGCGCTGTATAAGGCTGGGAATGTAAAAATGTAGAGTCTGGTCTTTTAGAATGCATATAAGTTGGTGATTGACCCGTCTGCCCAGTTGCCTACAACTCACCAGTCCGCCCACTTCAGTCAATTTTTTGAAACACCCTTGGGCTTTTGATTTCTGTCGCAGCTAATATCTATCAAAACTCTGCTTCTTACTGTAATCGAGTTCTTCTAGACCGTTTTGAAACACTGTTCCTATTCAGAAATTCGCTCAAGCTCAGCATCTGCTAGTGAAGTGTCAACCGAAGCTCGGGATATCACGATGTAGCAACAGCCTCGCTCCACGATGTCCCTCCTCACCTGCATTCTCGGTGCCTCCATAGTCTCTGCCTACCCTTCACTTACCATGAGACAAGAAGCCGCATCAGATGACACCAATGCCTTCATCGCCCCCAGGGAGGTTGAGGACTCCATACGCGGTCCCTGGTCCAGCGTCATGCAGCACCGGCCCGACGAGACGGTGAGCTTCGCGCAGGCGGCCGAGGCCCGCGCCGCGAGGCTCCGCGACGCCGCCGCCGAGAACCCGGAGTTCACGCAGCCCGAGGCGGCCGTCAACGGGAGCTTCACGCAGCTGGCTGGGGTGCTGTGTGCATTTGGCGGGAGCGCGGCCGACGGTCAGGCGAGGAGGGATTGGATCAATGCCAGCTTTGTGGAGGAGAGGTTGCCTTATGAGCTGGGGTGGGCCAGGTCGTCGGAGGTGTTCACTGCGGCGGACTTTGGTGGTGTCATTGCTGGGCTGAGAGCGGCGACACCTGCTTGATAAGGCTGCTCTATGGAGACAGATTAGATCTTGATGGGTCTAGTGCCCGTCTTAAACACCTGGCTAGTCACCAACAGTACTGTTGTTTTCACCAATTGAATTACAGCTCCAGGCAGGCGATCCATCTCAATGCTCCTTTGGTCAGGCCCCTCCGAAATAATAAAAACCAGGTGGAAAGCCCCTATCGGGGCCCTGGGAGCTATTCGTCTAGGCCTGCTGGCTAATCTTTTGGGGGGGCCCCTGCTGCGCAGCCCCCCCCCCTCGCCTACGGCGCTGCGCGCCTCCGGCTCACCCCCCCCCCCCCGGCGAGGCCTACGGCCTCGCCTGCCCATTAATGAGGGTTCGGGTTTTGGAATAAGCCAATCAGCTTGCAACTTTTCTGAACCATGGTGCGCCGACCGAGTTCCCATTCACAGACTATTCTAGACGAATAGCATAGATTATTGAACCTGCAGCCCTGCGACCAAATTCAGTTTTCCAATTTTCTCGCACTTTCTTGTACTTACCGGTGTATATCGCAAATTGGCAATTGTACAGCAAACACATGTCTCCAAAAGGCTCGATTCTCGTGACAGGCGCCAATGGCGGCCTCGGCAGCGCGATTGCATCACAAATTGTCTCTTCGCCGGAGCTTGCGGCCCACCATGGTATTTACACAGCCCGCAACGCTGCGTCCGCTTCCGCACTCGATGCTGCTCTGCGAAGATCACACTCGAGTTCTACCGCCGCACCTCATTCCTTCGAGCAAGTCTCTCTCGACCTGTCGCGACTTAGCAGCGTACGAGAAGTAGCCGCGGATATCAACCCACGCGTTGCTGCGGGCCAGATCCCTCCGATCCGAGCCATTATCCTCAACGCTGGGGTCGAACAATTCGCGACGCAGACTTGGACTGAGGACGGGTTGGATCTGACCTTTGCCACTAACTACCTCGGGCATTGGCTGCTTACCTTGATGCTCCTTGGGAGTATGGACCGAGATAGAGGGAGGATTCTTTGGGTGACGAGTTGGTCACACAAGTGAGTCACAGAGTAGACTTTTTTTTCTCTCTGACCGATACATGTTCTGTAAGAGGCGTAGTAGCTAATCACCGTGTCCTGTCAGTCCACGAGATAAGCATAATTCACTCAACGGGGCTTATGAAGAGGACAGGTTTAAAACCTTCATCTCGGATGACCTCGAGCCTATCGCCAAAGGCTCTTGGAGTGCGACGAAGGACGACTCTACAGGTTGGGCTGCGGGCTACAGACGCTATGGCGCGTCCAAGCTCTGCGGAGTAATGATGATGTAGGCTTTTCCTCAGGCGCCGCACTGGTCTCCATGTTTCGTCTAGCCAGCTAAAAACGCGGTTGTTTTGTAGTCACGAGCTTCAGCGCCGCCTCGACCAGGAACCCCTCCTCAAGAACATATCGGTCCTTGCACTCGACCCGGGCGCGATGCCCACTGGAATCATGCGTCACAATGAGTCCTGGTTTGTGCGATTTGTGATGTTCCAAGTGATCCTCCCCCTAATCACAGTGTTCTGGGGCTGGCTCTGGCCGAACGGGGCATTTCGGACCCTCGAGAAGTCTGCCCGTGACATTCTCACCGCCGTGGTCGCCTGTGGCCCGCCACCGCTCAGTGAACACCCAAAGGGCCTTTTCCTCAACGGATCGCAGCAGGGTGAGTATAACACGGAAGCGCTGGATCCCGTCAAGAGGGATGTAGTATGGAGAGGCAGCGTTCGATACGCGAAATTGGAGAAAGGCGAAACTCTACTTGAGAGATGGGAATAATCCTGGTCAAGAAGACAAACGGGTGGTTTGCACAGGAAATATTTAGGTGATATGTGAGTGCCAAATAGTGACCTTGACACCCATTCACTTCATTAGCAAAGAAAACGGGGACAATGGCGCATGTTACGGGGACACTCGTACAGCGTATCATGTGAAGCAACATGCGTCCTGTTGGCTTTTTTGAACGTGCAGCTGAGTTGGAGAAAGAATTGGCCAGGTACTTGTTTTAATGATACTTAGGTAAATGGACAATAGCATTGCAGTGGTCCACATACTTCGGTAGTTCAATTCAGCGCTGCTGGATACCCGAGTGTATGTCACACCAAGGAAACGGTTCTTATGCCTTGTATCGAGACGCATTTGAACATTTAGATAGAAATGAAACAAATCATGCCTCTAGTACGTCTTGACGGGCGATGATTGCGCACGTCAACCTTGAGTCCAGGTCATGCCAGTCATGCTGGTTACACAGTACACGTGCGCACTGAGTTACTTACAGCGCCACTCTCTAACGTGCTTCTCTGGTGTCACTTTCCCTTGCACCAATGGGACAAATACATATTAATTATCGAATGCAGTACTCCGACTACCATCCGTCGGCGTGACAATGTGTCGCCGACACGCTGTGTACCATTGTGCAAATGATCCGACCCTGCGGGTAGCCGTTCTGATGTGATACTTGTGTTTGGTGGGTGAACGATGTCGGAATTCAGACTGGGAGGGCAGACATTTCATTTGTCCAGCTCACTGGGAGGGTTGACGAATGGCTGGGGGACAGACGTTGAACAAATAGTTGTTCTGTGGATTCTGTCTGGAAGTGCGGCAACAGTGTCAGATGTGGTTGGGAACTGCACGTGAAATACCTTGGTTGACCACTTTTGCTGAAGCCCAATAGTAACAAATGGAGGGTTGCCTCACTTGATGGGTCCGATTGCCAGTCCTGCTTCATGATGGTCACTTCGGACTCGGGCCGAGGTTTCTCTGTGTAGGATGGAGGATTGATTCGGACCGGTGGCGGTTTCAGAGCGCCCTTGATCAGTGGCCGTTCCTGAAGCGGTTGTAGAGCATCAGGCATTGTGACTTGGTTTCTTGGTCTGGTTGTTTGCCAAATACTTGGACTAGACTACGCAGTCTCCATTAGTATCAAATTGGAGCAGGAATACACGCTCAGTAGCTGGGAAGGCATGCATGTGCCAAGCTGCAGTGATGATAAACTTTACGTCTTAGGCCGAAGGGTTCTGAGATTGGATGATGAGCAAGCGGGCGTCTATCTACATCCAGTAATACGAGGAGTGGAACCTGGCAGGCCTCGGACGAAGCTCAATAATGCGCCAGAACAAGCAGGCGTGGGTGTCTCACCTACTGTTTCCAGCCAGGCGTTGGTAGACAGCCTTTCAACTCTCTCTGTCTCAATAGTGCCGTGTACCGTAGACACCAAGTCTGCAGTATTAGATGGTTTGGCGGGCTGGCTGAAGTTGATGGAACTGAATGAAGCAATTGCGCATGCGATTACCTGAACGAGAAGAAGAGCGAGACTAGGAGGGCAGACAGTTCCCACCTTCCATGATCCAGGGCGAGAGTTCTACCGGAAGAGCAGGGGTCCGGATCTCATCGCGACTTTATCAGCCCCGTATTTGTCACAACAGACCAATCACGGCAGGGTGCTTCCCCACTTTCCCGCCTCATTCCCCGCCATTCAGAAGTCGAAAAGCGGGCAGGTGCTCTTCACAGTTTTTTCCTTCTGCGACGCTTGCCTTGGATGAGAAAGAAGCGACGGGACAGAGGGGAGATTGGGCCCAGGGGAAGGTGGGAAGGTGCAAGCGCGAAAATGAGGTTGGACACAGGACATGTGCAAGGTGCCAGGTGCCAGGTGCGACAGCGACAGCGACAGGGTGCAGTACTGTAGTAGTTATGACTCTTTTTTTTTCCTGCTGTGGCCCTCCATGATCTACTAGGCGCAGGTAGTCTGATTGAAAACTATGACTCTGCAAAAAATCCCCCTGTAGAGCAGAATGCTTCCTTCTTAAACCAGCCCAACCCCGCACCCTCCGCTACCGGCCCTCGAACCTCGACCTCGACTGTCTCGCTCATGACCCAAGCCGGCTCACCTACGGACCCGAGTGACAACACCATCGCGACACCGGCGCCCCCCAGATCCGTTCGCCAGCGTGCCTGGACTGTTGGAAGGTCCCGCCTGTGCTGCGCTGTGCTGCGTTGTGCTGCGGTAGCGGAAACCAACGGCACATTGCCCACTGCCGTCTGACCTGCTCGTCCGCCTCCCCTCTTCCCCATCTCCCCTGCCGCCCACCTCCGCCACCGTGCAGTGAGTGCATGGACGGCTCTGCAGCCCCCGGAGCCGGCGCCGCAAGCTCGGCAGCCCAGGCCCAAGCTCAACACGGCCATGGCCATGGCAATGGAGGTCCTGCCTCCTCCATGAGCCCGACAAGCCCTGTCTCCGTCCGGAGCCACGGCCTGTCCCATGGCTCCGGCCTCGGTGGTGCCAATGGCGCTGCAAAGCGCAAGAGGAGCTCTGTTGGCATGGTTGGCAGCAGCCCTGGCAGTGAGAACGGTGACGACGACCTTGCCGGGGACCACCACGAGAAGAAGAGGCAACCGGGTGTCAAGAGAGCCTGCAACGAGTGTCGCCAACAGAAGGTGAGTCCGAGTCCGAGACCGCGTCATTGAATTCTCCCCTGCCCACCTGCACAGATCAACCACTGTCAGCCATCCCCAATTCTTCCATCCTCCTCCTCCCACTCTTCCTCTCCAATGCATTCAATGCCAGTAGCAACCGTTATGCCCCCTGGGAACCATCATGCACCACCATTTGCTGACCAATGGCCCTGATTTCCCTCGGGAATAGTTGCGCTGCGATGTTGTTCAAGACCCCTTCACGAGCTGCTCCAGATGCGTCCGTCTCAAACTCGACTGCAAGATCGAGTCCAACTTCAAGCGCGTCGGCAAGCGTAGCAAACATGCAGAGATGGAAAGGGAGATAGAGAAACTGCGTCGTAATGTCGCCAAGGCAAGGTCACAAGGCTTCATTCCGGACGAGGACGACCCCATCGAGTCCCAGCTGCAGTCTCCCGTTGTCGCCAGTGTGTATTCCCACACCAGGCACCCTTCGCTCATGGGGTCCGATGAGGCTGTCTCATCTCTGTTGCACCTAAAGCGCGGAGGCTCCTACAACGTGCCTCGCATATGCCGGGAGCTTGAGGAAGTCCGCTTGACTGAGGACGCCGAGGCCCAGCTGTTCGCCGAGTACTTCGCCCACTACGATCAATTTCTCCCCTTCCTCAATCCTGCTCAGTCCCCCGACCAATACTACGCGCAGCATCCTCTACTGTACTGGGTCATGATCTCAGTCGCCGCGCGTCGATACCATCCTGATCCTTCTCTCCTGGGGAATCTCTCCGGGCCTCTGACGAATCTGCTGTGGCAGACCATTGGAGATGTCCCCAGCAGCCACCATGTCGTCAAGGCTCTTTGCCTCTTGTGTACATGGCCGCTCCCCACAAGCACGTCCTCTTCAGACCCCACACAAATTCTGTGTGGTGTGATGATGAAGGTTGCCACGCTCATCGGCCTTCACAGGCCTCATCACATCAACGACTTCTCGCGTGTCATCATCGACCTGGACAACGAGCAGCTACATGACCGTGTCATGACGTGGGCTGTCACCAATGTCGTTGCTCAGTCCATCGGAACGGGCTACGGCCAACCCGCATCGAGTCTGTATGACTGGACACTGGCCATCCGGCCCGGTGAATCCGGCCCGTTCCAGCTTTCACCAGACCTTGAGGCTCGACTACAAATTGAGCGATTCTGTGACAAAGTGTCTAAGGAGATGTACAGCAACGCCAGCGATCCGCGAGGTGTCGCTGGCGACGAGCACCGAGCCATGCTGATGCGCGTGTATCGCCGCGAATACGGAGAGCTGCAGGCTTCGATACTCTCTCGCAACCTGTCGAGAGTTGTGAACCTACACCTCAAAGCCGCCGGTCTCCACCTTCGACTGGCCGGTTTCTTCGATTCACACAACACACCCGGATACATGGATGATCTGATGGGTCTCTGGAGGGCCAGTTGCAGTTTTCTGGACTACGTCCTGGACAGCAAACCAACCTCTCCGCATGACCCCCATGGCGAGAGTGACCTGCTCCGATACGCCACCAACTACATCCAGCAGATGCTGGTCGCCGCGGGCTTTGCTTTGCTGAAGCTTCTCCGGTCCTTCTTCGCCAAGTCAGTAGACTACGAACGCGGCCGCATACTGTTCCACCGCACCATCACAGCCATTCGATCAACCAGTGTTGTCCAGAACGACCTCAACTGGAGGCTCGCTGAGCTCATGGTCCAGATCTGGAACGGAGCCCGTAATGAGAAGCGAAGCAAATCCTACCATGACGAGGACTCGGTGCATGAGATTGATGACAGCTTGCAGCTGCAAGTGCGCTGCAGGCACAGCATGAGTCTTGTCTACGACTCGATCTGGCACTGGAGAGAAGAATACCAATCTCGTGGCCGAGGAAATCTCGACTGTAAGTGGAGCCCCCCCGCCTGCCCTCCGGCATCCGTTGCTGACGGAGGGCACGCAGCGCTGAAACACCCCACGAATCCAGATTCCGCAGAGCACTCATCGGCATCATCTACGCATCTCGACCCTCCACTGAGTACAGCACATGGCCTGCCGACAAGCCTCCTCACCGCTTCCAACGGGGCCTTGACCCCTAGTGGTGGCTCTGGCTTTGGCGGTGGCCAAGGCGGACTGGGTGGTTCCAATTATGAGCCGACCAACTACGACTTCTTCGACCCGCAGCACTGGATGCTGGATGGACTTATGGACTTCAACTATTCCTTCGTTCCGGAAATGGGTGCTTAGACAGCGCGCCGGGACCCAGGACAAGGACACTTTGGATTCCGAGGAGCTCCTGTTCCAACCTCGAAAGAAATCAAGAATGTAGATGAATTTGGTGGGACTCCAGCCCCTTGTGCGACCTGTCTTGACCAGAGGCGGTTGCAATGTTTTGGCACGATTGATACATCGCTTCAGGCTACAGTTTCTGAGGACCTGTCTCAGAAAGTTTGATCATTATAGAGCGAGCTCTAGTCATATCCCTATTTCAAATACCCAATACTCGACATGAATATCTCAGCGTTCAAAGAGACGTGTCAGCAAGGATAAAGTTCTCAAAATCAAATCAATGTTGAGTAAGAGAGGGTTAAAGAGAAAGCCAAGCTGAGTTGAGGATATACCAGAGCTACACGCCTATATGGAAGATTGGTTGAAAAGCATTTAGCAGCCGTCATTGCGGCCAAGAACGATTCCGTTTTGGCGGCGAATATGCTTCTTACAGGAGACGGGAAGGACGGAAGGACATAAAATTGGCAACGGGACCTCCTACGATATGCAAATTACCCTGTGATACATTCGCCTGTACATAGAGGCACCCGACAGCGAGGCACGAGATTGGGACTCATCGGTGAAAGTGCGTATCATTAGGAGGGCGGCATTGTTTCGGCTTTCTGTTCACTTTACTGCGTTGCTTGTTCATCCGCGTTCTTGCTATCTAACATCCGAACCTCCATGCCCACCCACCAGCTGACTGGCATCCCTGGCTCGGTGGATTTCATGGGACATGATAGGGGGGCCGGAGGGGTCTGGAAAGATTGCCCAGAGGATTTCATGCGTTTCGCTGAGGGTGGTGGTGATGATGGTATCTGTGTGTACATGTGGAGACAATACCCCCTTTAGGTGCCTTGGTGTTGGCGAGAGCAGTAGGGCTGGCTGCCCATGCAGAGAGGGTTTGAGCTAGCTAACTTGGCCTGTCGATGTTTACATGCAAAATTCGAGGACCGTCATTACCACTGGTCGGGCCTCCCACCGAGTGATGTCATTGACTGCCTGGTGTGGCATGTAAACGTCCGGCCACGAGGTCTCGTCGTTTCCTGGTTCTGTGCGGCGCCTTTCCGGAACAGTCGGGAACGTGCTATCGAAGATTCTATCTTTGTTGCGCAAAGTAGTACCGTACCACGCTGCAGCCCACAGGCACACACCATCACCGCCTTACCACCCTGCCATGTGGTAATAAAGTGGTGGAACCGGGCCATCGTGTGTCTCCATCTCTATCCCTTGTCGCGTGGCCAGGCTGCGGCGCAGGCGCAGTCTTCGGCGCAGTCGCCGCGGCGGCTAGTGAGGCCACGCCCACCCGCGCTTTGCCTCCCCAGGAAGCTCGTAGGATTTTCGGTTAACAGGGCGAGAGAAAGAGGTGTGCGTGCGTGCATGGTAAGACAGGGATTCCGGACGGGGACATTTTGAAAGAAAAACGTGGGCTTTTGGGCTGGGTTGGGTTACCGCCTGCGGCGCGGACGCACCTCGTTCATCCTTCGGCCCAAAACTGCGTGCGTGCATGGCATGTATCGTCACGGCGCAGCTAGCTGAGCGGCGGACCGGGCCCAGCCACGAGGCGGCACACCGCACACCTTTTGCATCTCTGCCTCTCTCTCTTGATTTGTAACTAGAGTGTGTGAGGTGAAGCATGGGATGGAGGTGCCCGTCGCCGAGGCCTCCTCGTGGGTTTGGCTGGGCTCGAGGTGGCCGGGCATACAAGACTGTCCTGCCTTATTCTGCCCTGCCCTGCCCTGCCCTGCCCTGCCCTGCCCTGCCCTGCCCTGCCCTGCCCTGCCCGGCCCGGCCTGACCGTGGGCCGCGCGCCGAGCCCCGTGTCTTGCCTAGCCAGGGTGCCGTAGGGCAGAGGAGGGAGGGCTGGTCTTACGGTGGGGAAAGGTTGCTTTCGTCGTCTTCTTCGATTGTATTCCTTTTCTGGTCAAGTATCATTCAGTTGACGTCGAGGCAGGTGTAATGTCATACCTTGTGCCGATCCGCCTTCCTAGTGACGGCCGGGGTAGGCGTTCAGCGCCGGCCCACGCGGGGACCTTGGCCGGCCAGCCACCACGCGACGCGTACCCGGATACACAAGCACGAAATGCAAGCCACTACAGCCACGTTAGGAGTTTTTCCACGCCATAGTAGGCCATATTATGACAATAATCCAGGAACAAGAAGGGTCTTACTGAATAAACCTCCCGCGCCGGTCCCCCCTTCCCAGGCTGCCCTGAAACTCATCAGACGGAAACCCCAGAAGGGGCCCGTCGTTATCCTTTCTTTGGTCCTTGACTGGGCCCCCCTCGACTGGTCAGTCGCCCACACAGCCCGGGGTTCGAATCCTGCCGTCGAGGCCTTCGCAAAATAGCAAAAGCCGCTGCGTATGTCCGGGGCTAGCTAGGAGGAGGATCTGCTTCCCGGCCGTTTCTTTGGCGACTGGGTCTCTCCGGCGAGAGTAGTGGGAACACGGCCGACCAATCCGGATCCGCAGCACCGCGACGGCGACGACGACACTCGTGGGTGGGTGTCGACACTACACCTGCGCGTCCTAGTTAGCGATATTGATCTATTGAGATGACACCCTGCGCAAACCACCTGGCGGAAACAGTGGGTTCAATTGAAAGGACCATGCATCCTCTCTGACTCTCCCTATCTCTCTCTCTCGCGAACCCTTGCCCCGGCATCTGCGGTAGTCGCTTCGCAGGGCGCGATCTTCAGCCTTCCCCTCTTTCCAGAACGGAACGTGTCCATCGTGACAGAATCCCGTAAGATCCGGGTCCGAGACAACTGGCTTGCTGACGGTGCAAGCAACCAGGGATGCCGGAGCGGTCTGGCCATGTGCCCAGTGCGGCTCCGCAGTCATAGACCCGTGCCGTTGAAGGGAGAAGAAGGGCTGAAGAGATCGGACGAGGAGGAACTCCACCGCCGACTGGGGTTCGGGGATGCATGGAATGTGCCGTTCAGTCCGGACACGTGCTGGAAAGTGATCTGTCGCGCACATTCTCCTGGGCAGTAAGTCAAGTCGCGATGTGTTGCCTCGAGTTGAGTCCTTCGAGCCAGGTTTCCACAGGGGCACGCTTCTGGGCTAGATATCGCTTCTTTCTTGAAATTGCGGGCAGGAAGCTCATGCCAGAACAGGGCGTCAAGTTCAGCCACGGGGACCATGGGTTTCTTCCGGGTGTTCTTGCCAACGACCACACCAGGAGACGACGAGTTCCATTGCCACGCTTGGCTGGTGTATCGCGCTGGACTCCCCCGGACAGCCTGGGGTGTCAGCGGAGCTTGTGGAAGATGGGCTTCTGAATACAGACATGGGCTAAATTACAGCTGCAAGCCACTGGCTACCCTGAATATGGGGGATCCACAGCGGTGTGAAGCTTAGAGCGAGGAGTGAACCCCCTCCCTCTGTATTCAGAGCCGTAGAAGTCGTGGGGCTCCCGCTCCCCGTCCCATCAACTGATGTGATGGGCGATGATTCTGGAAGGAATACGTGAGCACGGCCAAACTTCGTGACTCGGTCTAATAATCCATCGAAGAAGGGGCTGTCTTGAGGCTCTGCGCGTGTCTCCCTCACGCCAGAGCCAAGTCTAGTACAAGCTGCCAACTCGCTGGGCGCGACGAGAAACCCCCGAGCTTCGCAGCTGAACCAGTCTTTATGCCCCAAATGTCATTTTGCCCACAACTTGTGGGTTGCGACGCTCACTGGCTGAATACCGGGGTCCTCGTGGCCTTGGAGGGTCCAGACGGTGCAGACAATCGCTTCACCGCGATCGGCCGTATCGATGATGCAGGACTCCACAGCTGGAGCCACGTTACTGTGTCTGCAGGTTGGGCCTTTTTGTCTTTTGCGCCGCACATCCACCAATCCTCCCGCTTGCCAATCCTGCCCCGTAAGGCGTCCGAATACGCCAACATGACCGGCATACGGGTTTGGTCAACCAAGTTGTCTGGTTCTACGCTGGCACGGAAAGCCACCGTAAGCCCACCCCACTCGATATTGCAGACCTCCAGGGTCTTGTGGGGGCAATGCGTGACGAGTGATATGTCACATGGTCCAACCGGGGAACGGTCAGTGAGGTGGCAAAGGCTCTGCGAGTCACCAGCCTTGAAAGCTGAAGACGTACCTGAAGATGGCTGGCAAGTAGACCTGATTGCGGCGGAGTCCAGGAAGTACAGTACTTCGTATCTCACACCGAAAGGGGCCGCCGGTCCAGGAAGGGTGGTGGGAGTGTCCTCCCGGACGAGTGAAGCTCATTCTGGGTTCTGACAGTTTGCTCGCTGAGTAAAGCACGGCAATGCCCTTGTCAGCACTCAATCCCTAGGGCTGAACATGGCAGTGCGCATGTAAGCCTGACAGGTGCATGCTTGCATAATAAGATGGCAGTGATAAGACAACAGACAGCTTGGACACCAGTTGGTCTTCGGGTCGCCTGCGCAACGGCCTGTTCTATCCATAGCACGTAACGTTGCTGCCACTTTGTCTCGCTGTTGATCCATTTGCGATACTAGTAGTTAGTATGTGAGTGGATGTTCCGGGAGACGACACGAAATTAAGACTTTCGTGGCTATAGCTCAAGGCGTAATTCGACGCTCAGAACTTCACCTTAGGGTCGAGTGAGCCTACACGGGCCGCGACCCGACCGCTCAGTCTCAAACGACCCACGTGCGGCCAGGCCAGGCCAGGTCGGCGCAGCGGTCGCCCGAGGGATTTGCAACATACAAAACGCGGCTCTTTCTGCAGGGAAGCGGAGCGTGGTAAGCGCTGGCAGCGTGTTCAGTATTGACAGTTGCCTCCATTGTCTGGATTCGTTGATTATCAATTTGTCAGTTGGCTGTTTTCTCTACACAAGCCGCGCGAGCTCGGCAGATGCCATCCCCAGGGGGTTCCCTGGGCATTTTCAGGGTCATTGACTTGGTAAGCGCACGTTTTGGCGCAGTCACCAACGGCCTTTACGGCACAAGGTTACTATTGTTGGTAAGATGGGATGTGTCAGTTG